AGGAAAAGCACTCTTCCCAGGCTGGTAAATGAGGCTCTCCATTGTAAGCAGAGTCCAGCAAAGTAACTTTGTTATTAACCTTGTGTTAGTCTTGCACTTTATATTAGTAAATTTCATATTCTTCCATTATTTTAATATTAAGTTCATCCAGTTCTGGATGAACTTATTAAATTTTTTTTTTCAGCCCAAAGAGCTTGGAATCGTGTGAGAAAAATGTCAGAGTTGTAGAAAAGTGTTAGTGGTGTGGTTCTGGTGAGTGATGTGAAATTATGTGGGCAATGAGAATGCTGAGCCTACCAGAATCATCTTGGGAGGACTGACAGAGCAAATCTGGCATCATCCTATCCATCTGTAATAGAGAATTGTTTCTGGAGCAATCTATTCTCAAAATAGCATCTGTTTTGGTTTTTTTGGGTTTTTTTGTTTGTTTGTTTGTTTGTTTGTTTTTTTCTGCAGAGGAAACTATTTGGTTTGCTTTGGCTCTCTGGAAAGAGGTATAATTGGGAAACCAAGAACGAGTATTCAACCAGTTTGTTCTTATTTGACAGACCAAATCACCAAAAGGTGTCTGATATATCATAATAGAGTGGTGAGTTCTCAGTAGGTGTCTCTATACCCCCTACACCATAGTATCTCTGCTATGTAATCTGTGTTAGGCATTAGGTGAAGAACTGATAGAAGATAAGGAGACTTATTGATCAGCCCACTGGAGTGGGAAGGAGAGTGCATGAATGGAGAGTAGAAGTGAAACAGTAGATTTACTGTTAAAGAACAAGAAAGAAAAAGCAAATTATGCAATTAGATTCTCTACAGAGGTCTAGCTGTTGTTCCCACAGAGATGTCTGTTCCACAAAGCATGTCACACTTTATGTTATGATGTATTAAATTACGTGCTAAGTCTTACATTTCTGTCATTTCAACCTGTCATCAATAGACCTCCTGCAATTATCAATTTGACAGGTTTGCCTAGCCCAGATCTTTTAACTTGGGAAGAGAAGACAGATTCCATCCAGAACAAATACCAAAATAGAATCTATACCAAAGTCAAAGAGACTGTGATGTTCATGCCCAAATTTAGCAAACTTATATGGACTTATAGATTTTATGGCCTGAAGTTACTGCTGTGATCATGTAGACTGACTTTCTGCAAAAGGAATCCAGAATTTCTCCTGTCATTTCTGCCTTGAGGACATGCCATCTGAAAGAGTCCGAAAATGTAACGGTGTAGATATGAAAACTTCAAGCAACACAGAAACTACCACATTCCTAAATTCATAATTCCCATAAATCCTTCCCATCATTGGTTAAAATACGGTGTAATATTCTTAGGCTTAATTCTAACAGGTTACTAGTTCCAGTCATTAGATCTTATTATTCCTCTTACAGTTAGACTCTTAATCATACCATCTTTTCTTTATGCAGGTACTTATACACTATGATTGGATTAACTCTTGGAAAAAATATATTGATAAAACCTACATCTCTTATGGAATTTCCAGCGGGTTTTTCAGATTTTTAATGGTTCTTTTGTAATTCTTTCTGAAGTTCTTTTTTACTACCTACATTCTTTACATGTACAACATCTGCATCTATTAGTTTTCATTGTTATACCGTTAGAGGAACTCACTACCAGCTGTGACTACAGATTTCTCAATATATTCCACTTCATATTTATGCTTCTCAGTTATCTACTAATACCAAAGTAAAATTCTTTAAAAAGGGGACAAAATATTTAAAATAGATGTAATATGACTTTCCTGGAATGCAGCACCTCGTTTGGTTTTACTTACTTATTAGAGAACTAGACTTTGAATATTAATATATTGGATTTATGTAGTCCAAAACAATGATTTGCCCTGACATATACAGTCACAGCTATACCAAAACAGAATGAAATTCAATATTGCAGAATTTATTTGACCAGTATTTTAAAACACAGTGGGACAGAACTGGACAAGCTCTTAAGGAGCAAATGTAATGATTTGATATTCTATGAAGAAGAGACTTTAAATGTGTAAACCCATAACAAGTTAATATGTGCTATAGTCAGCAGCATGGAAGATTACTTTTGTACAGAAGCCCTTCTGTCTTTGTCCTGTATGGAAAGAACAATTTTCCTATAACTTTGCCAGTAAATTTTCCTATTATAGACACAATGCAAACTGGCAAACTTAAACAGGGAATCTTGTATTGAATCCCTTAAAGTTCTCCAAGCAAAATAAACTTGTAGATTTCTTCATTGATGTAGCTGTAATTGTATTCACACCTTTTGCCAGACAAGCATGACATGAATCTCACATCAAAGCAACATTTTTATTTTGACAGTTTTCTAACTGCAGCATTTCCCTGTGTCAAGGTAAGTTTAATTTAGTGGAAATGGAATTGAACATCATGATAGCAAAGTATGTAGAAGATATTCAGTAAGGTCAGACAGGTTCAGAGGACATGCTGATGAACTTTAAAAGCCAGTGAAATACACAACACAACAGCGAGAAAAAGAAATTGGGGAAGAAATCTGAAGAAATTGTGCATCTCAGAGGGTCCAACATCCATTGTATAAATCCAGAAAAGTTCTCATTATAGAGAAGTCAGTGAAGACTTTTGTGCATAAAGCCCAGTTAAAGAGTACAACAGGAAACGCAGAGACAAAATCTGTTAATTAATGCAATGAGTTTATCAGATTTCATTGCAATTTTTTTTAAAAGAGGTTAAAAATCCATGAAAATGCAAGAAGAACATTATTTTGATTAAGAGGAAAGCAGATTTTCTACAAAAAGTGACTGAAATAATTGAGATGGATTAATTTACAGCAGGCAAAAGAGAATAAAACTCAAATATGAAAAGACATGACAAAAAGTATGAAATAGTGAAGTAAAAAGAGTAAATTGAGGACAACTCTTTATGTTCTAATGAAGTAAAAGGTGGAAATTTCAAAACTGATATGTGTTTTGACATTCATCATAGTTTCACTGTGAAATTAACTGCATAATAATACAACTCTGCTTATGTGTGAAGGTGAGAGAGGGTTTACATGTTTATCTAGACATCAATTATATCCTCATGTATGTGTATGGAAACAGTTAATCAACTAAACTTTCTTTGAGTACAATTAATTATTTATCCCAACAAGAATTTGACATTCTATTTAACTTCGCATTAAGTGAAAAGTATATACCTGAAAAGCTAAAGAGTACAGTGTGACTATAACAAATTATAGCAAATAGTTTTTTGACAATGTTAACCTGTTTGGTTAGTATTCAAGAATATTTATAAGTATTAGATATTAGGGTAAAAAAACCCAAACAACCAAAAAAACCCAAAAAACCCAACACAAAACAAAACGCCACAACTACAGAATATTATCTCCCGATTTTCTATGCAAAAAACTGACTCATCTTCCCACATGTTTGCTAGTGGTTGCGTTTTGAGATAAGATACTGATCTATATGGGTCATGAGTTCAATTTAATATCCACTTTAATATTCTGACAAAATTATAGCTGAAACATGTGATTGAATAAACAGCATTTGTAAGCAAGACTCTTCATACCAGAAGAAACTGGAGAACGAGTTCAAGGAAGGTTCTACAGAAAAAGATTAAGCTCAGACTTCATAAGAATGAAAATTTCAGTAAGGGTTATTTAAAGGATTTTTAAATTTAAATGGTTTTAAAATTCTTTTTTCATTAAAAAAATCCAAAACAAAACAATCCAAAACCAACACTGAAAGGGCAGGAACGCTTTCAGCGAACACTGAGATAAGACATTTTCATACTCATTGATAAATATGATTTTAAAGTCAAATTAAGACTTGAACGAATGACTTTTCTGAAATAGAACAAAACACAGTTCTATGCAGAAAGTGGGAACTTTACTTTCTTTTAAATGAAAGAATTTTCTGCAAGAAAAAGATAAACTCATTCTCTGAAACTTTAACGATTTACTGTTTTCAGACTTTTTGATGCATTCAAATCATGTGAAAGGGAGTGAGAAAAAAAGACACTAACCTAGTAATAGGATTTGATTTAGCCTGAGATTTTTCAAAACGATGTTTATTTGGGATCATGGATTCATAGAATGGAATTACTGAGCTCACTGTAACTTAAATGATGCTTTGCTATAACTTATCTTCCAGAGCCTTCTAAGCTTAACTGAAGGTACTGTGAGAGAATTCATCAATTCCTTTGAACGAGTGATTAAAACCCCTCATAGTTAAAAATCTGTTTCTTATTTAAAATTTTCCTACTTCAGCTTCCATGCTTTACACTTTGTTTTACTTTTCTTCACTAGATAAAAGAATTCTTATATATCCAACATAATTTTCCTGTGAAGGTACCCATTCTTTTGTTATTTCTTTTTTTTTTTTTTAATAAGGTAAATTGGTGAAGAATCTTAAGTTTCTCACTGTAAGTTACTTGCTCCAGCCTTTGAATATTTTTTTTGAGTCTGTGCCAGTCCACCAAGCTTCTCACTAGTGAAAAATTGTATATTTTCCTCTACATAACTGACAAAAAAACTGAAAACATCAGACTTCTTTCTCTTCCCTGTGGAAGGTAGAAGCAATTCCATTCAGTGCAATCCCCCTTAGGATGACAACAATTTGAGATCTATCAGGTATCCAGTCAGTAATTTATTTATCATGTGCTTTACTGATATTCTAAAGAGCTAATTCATGATCAGAATGTTATGAGATATGAAGTTAAACAGTATACAGAAATCTAAGACTATCACATCATTGGCAGGTTATTCTATGAAGCAAACAGTCTTCACAGGGAATGAAATTAGGCTTGTTTGACAAAACCAATTATTCATAAAGCCATGTGGAATGGCATTTGTTTTATTCCTGTTAGTTAATCCTTAATTAATCAAATCTCAAATTGGTGTTTCCATTTTCACTTTGAATATGCAAGTTCATTTGTTAGCTGTGTTTTGGAAAACTTTTTTTTTACTATTGATAGAGAAAGCATACTTTTATCTTCTCTCACTTTCTCCTCCATTTTAGGCGTTACAGTACTTGAAGGGCCTATTTATGCAGTGGGAGGACATGATGGCTGGAGTTATTTGAATACAGTTGAGAGGTGGGACCCTCAAAATCAGCAGTGGACATTTGTGGCAAGTATGTCAATTGCCAGAAGCACTGTTGGAGTAGCAGCATTAAATGGCAAGTGAGTAGGGTATTCTTACATGGTTGAAACACATTTCTTGGAGGGATGAGTAACTATGACACACAGTAGTAAATAACTTTTAGCATATTGTAATAGAGGATGGCTTTTAAAATAAATGTGGACACAGTTGTGCACATGCTCATATATCTCATGTCTCTTACCTTTATTTGAAATAAGTAATTTATAAATATTTTTATATTATTTTTGTATAATAATTATATCAAATGCTTAAGAATATAGACCTGAAATTTCAGTATGTATGATATAAACCAATACAGGACAAGTTCACTTATCTGACTTTTATATGATGTATATGTCAGTTTTAGTTAACCAACTGAGTTTATCCATCTAATATAGTGATGTACCCAGTGACAAGATTTGTTGTATATGCATTTTGTGCCTTGCTTCAGTCAAGTATTGACCCATGAAATCTTCCTTGTCTGAAGGCAATTACATTCACACAGCAAGTAAATAAAAATCTGATTCTTGTTAACAGACTACATTAAACCTCTAATTCTAGTTGTGTTCAGATTCCAAGTTTCTCTTTTATAACTTTAACTTTTTAAAATTTTCATGTGTTTTTTATTAAAACTCTTTATAGTAATGTGATATTTTATATTACTTGTTGCTTGCACTTTTAACTACGTGACTAAAAAGAATATGGTGTGAACTGTAATAATTTAGAGGTGAGGGAGGGAGTAATCATACCTAACTTCAGATATTTTTGTATAGACATCTACAACTGAGCCAATCATCCTAAGATCGCCTTACGGTCAATGGAAGAAAAATGTACTTTTAGGATATCATGTGTCTTACTTATTTTAGACATTTATATTAGGACAGCACGAACTGTGTCCTGTAAGTGCCCATTTTTCTCTTCTAACTATATGGGAAACCTAAGGACTCTGTCTCAGATTCTGACTTCTATGGTTTTGATATTTAAGTGGGGAAGATGAATCCCACTGTAGACAACTGAACATAAGTAAAAGGCAGTCAGTAAAGAATGCCTTGGGAACGGTGGGAGCAGTTGAGTAAGGCAAATTTCCGGAATATTATTTTCCTCATACTTTATTGCTACTGAACAGCAAAGAAGAAAGAATGAGAAACAGCTGCAGATATGGGGTGGAATGAGAGAGTAAAAGTTGAGGACATTAACAAAAAATAGTTAGTAATAGTTAGGATAAAAAGTTTACAGGGAAAAAAATGACTTACCAAGACTATTTGGTTTTGTGGTAGCCTATGCTATCACATAATTCAATAACCCATGAAATTTTGCCCACCCCATTGCTTCCAGTGGCAAATCATTCGGTTTTTATTATACAGTAGAAAAACCTCACAAAAATCCTATATATTAGGTTGTGCTTATTGTACCTAAGATACAGGCTTGAGTTAAGTATGCTGAATTGATTTCTGGGATTGTCAGACTCCTTCCACTGACTGTAAGAGTCACTGAATATACAAGTCAAACAAGTAGCTGAATTTAGCTTACAACTATGTTACAAAACCTATAGGATATTGTGTAACTTTCTATAGCAGAGCAGAAGGCCTATAATATGGCAATACCTAGATATATATATTTTAAAATTGAATCTCAAATTAATTAAAACTACAGGCTTTAAAAGCGTTAACTAATTTTAGGAGTTTGTCATATTACAGTTGTGTCCTATGTACAGAATAGCTCTGGATTAAATAGGCTTTAACGGATGCATTCATTATCAATATTATATTATTTAATTCATGATATCATATACTCAGATGATCTACTTCTCATCCATGACATTAAGAGTTAGCTTTTTTGTAGTGAAATCGTCTGCAAACCACTGAAGCTTAATTGTCATTGCTTTCACTTAATCAGTCACAGTGGCACTGAGATGTTCCAGAGTAGATCAAATGGACAAAGCTGCTTTAATCACTCAGTTACTTTAAAAGAATCTGGTTTCAATAGCGTATGAGACATGCAGCAAACTAGCAGAGACAAGATCCAGACAGACAACCCTGAAAATATAGATCTATAATTATGAAGATCTGCATATATATATATATATATATATCAGGTATCTTTCTTTTACACAGCTGAGCTTGTATTTAATGCTTCTCAGTTAGTAAGTAATTTTGGTTGGTTGTTGGTGTTTTTTTTTTTCTTTTAACTTGACTAACCATCTTTAAAAAACATCCCATGTGCCAAGAACTGAAACTTGAAAACATATGTAAGTACGAAGCCTTTCAACTCTCTGGTGCTATTCTTACTAAACTGCTGTTCCACACAACTGACATATGCTGCATTCCTCATCTGAGCTTTTTGCTTTGAAATAGGCAAATAGTTATGGATATTTTTTAAAAAAAAGAAATTGTAAGGATACTAGAAATGGATGTCTTAATGAGAAACAAGATATTTATAGCATGGAAATTCTAATAAGTCTTTTTGCTGGTTATTCCTTACGTTTCTTTTCTTCTGCGTTGAATTAAATGAGTAAATAAATAAAATGCATCAGGGTTAGACCATCTTTGAAGTGAGTTATTCTGTGTGTATAAGTCCCACACTGCTTTGGGTACTTTACATAAAAGGGATACCATATCTCAAATGTGAGCTTCTTAAATACTTGAAAAAATATATTCTCTTCTTTTGTATTTTAATGCTGGAAACTATTCCATTTGTGATCTTCCATACTTTTATGGTCTGCTTCATTGGTTTTCCAGTTAAAGCTATTTTAAGCAGAAAAAAATGATACATTTTACCATAAAATTGGATGAAAACTGTATTTTTTATAAGCTTACAGTGGAAATAAAAACTTTTAGATTCTGATCTCCTTAGGCTGTGAGGTGATTGACTTGTAAGCAGCTTCTTATTTGTTCTTAATGTATTGGACCTTTTAATGCTTATTTATGTTTTTGAAGTTCATTTGCATAGTGTGTGCAAGTCAATTATCAATTATTTGGTTGCTTAAACAAATGGAAAGCAATATATCTGAATTTGGCAGAACATGGCAACAGAAATGAATGTCTTTTTACCAAAGTATGTTTTCAAATGTAAACTGAAAATGCTATATTATATAAAAATCTTTCCTAAAACCTCAAAAGGATTGTGTCAACATATGCATCATAATCTAGTCTGAAAAAACTTTGATTTATTGAAACCATTAAATCCTTTTGCTGAATTTTTCAGAAATTCAGAAAAATAAATATCTGAAGTACTTTTTTTTTTTTAGACTTAGACCAGTTGACAGAGTTCTTTAGTATAATCAGGTTGCGCTATTACATTTTAAGATTGCAATACTGCATTGCCCATGAGGGCTTAATGGAACATCTTCCTCTCGAAGCATGAATGTCACCTGCTTGTTACCCTCAGATTTCCCCCAGTAACAGCATACAGTAGTTACTATCCTACAATCTGGAACACAAACAATATTCTTTTTCTTAAGCAGCTTCCTAAAACTATAAGGCAGCTAGAACAACTAATAAAAGGATTTGGTAGTTTTCTAGATAAAAGAAAGATACATGGCAGATTTATTGTACCAGAATTTCAATAGAGCAGTTTATCTGACATTACATAGGAAATAAATAGTTAAGATCAAAAAAAGATGAATAGTACAGGGATTTTAAAAATAAAAGATTTGTGTGTGACAACTAGGACATTACAAAGTTACTGCTGGAACTCTTTAAAGATCAGCCTTGGGGTAAAGGAGTGTAACAGGATGAGCATGCTAGTTGAATCTTCAGACCATTCAAAGCGACACGAAAGGGAACATTATCATGTGAGACATGTTGGACTATTCTACAGAAGATTTGAATGACCCTAAGAAGCAACATGAATGGAATATTTAATAGTACATATGTGAATGAACAAGACTTGTCTTTGAAGAAAACTAATGGTAGAAAGTGGCAGAAGAGGGGAAAAAGCTCTGTACCTTGTTAGTACAGAAAAACCAGTAGAGAAATCTATGAAAAAATGAAATACAATGGAAGAATACATAAAGTTTTATTAATTGTGGAAATATTTACGGTTTTTAGATTACTGTGTTCAATTCTGGTCATGCATATTGAAGAAAGTTTAACTGAAAGTGCAATATGTGAATTGGAGGTGCCATGACTATCAAGAATGGCTGTCATACCAAAGAAAAGCAACAGAAATATTACAGATGGCAAAGGAACAGATGGATACAAATAGATAAAATTCAGTTGGAAAAGTAGAGACAGAATAAAAATGGTAGGGAGATAACAAAAGGGTGGACACAAAACTGTAACTGGGTTCCAAATGCATGTTTATCAGTTTATAGAAAGGGCAATGTTATCTGTTTTCATGTGACACCAAAGATAGGAAGCTGAGAATTTTCCTTTTCAGAAACATTTTGTTTTCCTAAAGCAATAATTGGTGCTGTGTAGCAGTAATGATCTGTATTGAGGCTTTGGAGATTCCATCTCCTTCATCCTCATACCTTTCTTATAGTTAAACCATAATGGAAGAGC